AGTGCTCAGGTAGGGCGCTGAGATAATACAACACTTGTTTGGTTGTCCACTGTGCTTTCAGAATGTACACAAGCCAGCTGGAGGACGGGGTGTTGTCACTGTCACCCGCACCATCTAAAGAGTCAGCAAGGGCAACCCCTATCAATTTCAAAGGCTGGCTCTTTTGAAAGCCATGCAGATGCCTCACAGCGAGTGCTTTTAGATCCATTAGAGATGCAAATAGCTCCTATAAAGGCGTAATCATGACAGCAACTTGAGGTTTTGAGCAATTTCAGAACTATCTTTTAGAAGCATAGTGCAAAAGGTGTTGACCTTATATGGGTTTCCCATCGACGTCCTCCTCCCGTTTTCCTGACAATCTGTACCAAATGAATAACTCGCACATGTTGCCACGGAAACACAGCTCATTGGGTTCATTTAACGACCATCATAGTTAACCCTGCAGAAAATCAATAAGATTTGGGAGGTGGAGGAGCTCGGGCGGGGGTGGGGGTGTGTTTGAATACTCACGACGCGTTTACAGTTTATGCAAGCGTGGCAGTGTGTGTGTGCAGCGTTACAGTAAGTAGGCGTTTCTCCCTCGCCTTAGGGCACACACTTAGGTGGGGCTTGAGAAAATATTTCTGTCTTCGGCGCCTGATGTACTACTCCAAGTCTCTCTTTCAGTACAGACCCAAAATATTATCAAAACGTAGCACTATTAACACGAGTTCATAAATTACACCTGTCACGAGCCAACTCTGAACACTTGTCTACACACATACTACTGCAAAGTCAGCGCTATGGTCTGAAATTGCATCACCAAGCATACTCTCTTTTTTCTATTGACCTACAACATTGTCACATCTCTCTGTGGCTGTCCACAGTTAACCTCGGCACAATTTCAGCTTCCTCCTCATCCACAGGCTTTCCTGGTAAGTAACCAAGGATGCCCTGGAACTTTAAAAATCAATTTTCTATTCTCCAACTCCAACTCTCTCTCTCTTTTCCAACCCATCCCCCTCTCTTTCAGGGGCTCTTAAAGGAAAACATTGAGATAACAGCTGCCAGGGCCCCAGGGAGAGCAATAAGAGGGAGAAAAGAGGTCAAACATTAAAAAGAGCAGGAATCCAAGGTACAGCTGAAAGACAAGCTCTCACACACAAGCAAAGACAGGAAGAAACACACACACACACACACACACACACACACTCATCCTGACTCACACCAAATGAAATGTAATGATATGAACGTGACACTTCATGCACCAACTTTGCAGCCTGCTGTGTGCTTGAGCTTCTGTGTGTTTGTGAAATGTGTGACACAGAAATTACAGTGAGGAGGTGTTGTTAGCTGAAAAGAAGAGATGCAGAAGGAAGAAAGAGAAAGAAAGAGAGCAAGGGGGAAAAAAAAGACAGAGACAACTGTTCTGTGGACACCTGTCCCTTTCGCTCACATGCTTGAGTCATGGCCAGAGACAGCTGCAGGGGCAATAAAGAAGAATGACTTTTTTTTTATTCTTTTTTTTTTTTTTACTTACCTCCCCTCCACTCTATTCCTTCCCTGTTTTCACTTCTTTTGCCCACATCCAGCCCTACAGACACACTGCTGTACTGTATGTTCATATAGATCATCTGAGCATAAATAATACATGGCAGAGCGGTTTGTGGAAGTAACAGTTCTTAATGTTCAGATTGCGTGCACTTCTAGCTACAGGCAGCAGACCAGATGCCACAACAATACACACATGCAGTTTCACCATAGCAAATCAAAATTGCAGAGATACCATCTCCTGCCTGTATCGCACTGTCATCTACGCCTACTGCACTGGTTTGTGTTTATATCCCTCGTAACAACTGGCCGTTGAGTCCTAATGAGAGTCTGAAATGCCCTGACTGGACCACGCTAGTAAAGGGGTCAAGTAGAGTCCTCATCTGTTAGCGGTTAATTAACATTTCATGCTCAATGACAGTGCTGTCCGCTCTGATGCCGTTTCATGTACAGTGGAGCCTGAGCGTTGGTAACGAAATACAGCACACGCCGAGGAGGATATGAAAAGATAAAGATAAACACTCACCGACAACAAGGAAGGACAGTACAGTCCCATCATCGTATTCTGTGCAACAAACTGTCGTCGCTCCTCTCTCTCTCTCCCCTTTCCTCTTCTCACGGTGGCTCGCTTTCTCTCCCTCTCCAAGCCTGTGTCACCTCAACAGCTCAGTCTCTCTTGTCTGTCTCACAGATTCAAAATCTCCCTCTCTCTGCCCCCCATCGCTCTGTCTGCCCTGCCAATCCCTCCTATCCCCCCCACCACCACCACCACCTTGTCCTCCTCCTCCGCTGGTCTCTGTCCCTGTCACTCTCCCTCACTTGCTTTCTTTTCTTCCCCCACTCTCTCTATCTAATCTCCCACTCACTCTTTTCTTTAATTCTCCCACTCGCTCCTTGCTTTTCCTCTACCCTCAGCCTTCTGTTTTGCCGCTGTGCCCTTGCCTGCTCATCTCTCCCGTTCCTTCTGTAGTCCTCCTCCTCTCTTACCCAAATAGCCTGACACCTCCCCCCTCCTACTTCTCTGCCTCTGTCACACCTGCAAACTTTCCCCTCCCCTCTGCCTCCATATGATGTCGCAGTCCCTCCCTCCTCTCTCTTTCTCTCTCTCTCTCTCTCTCTCTCTTTCTCCATGTAGGTGAGTTAACTGGGACTGCTGGCACCACTGGAGAGGAAGTGAAGACTTTCCTTCTCTTTGCTCTAGCCCCTTTCAAACAGGCACACTGTTACATAAATGTGATAGTAAATTTACACCTTTGTTTGAATAGGCACCCCCAGTCACGACTGCAATCCGACTGGGTCGGCTCTAGTAACACTTCCAGCACAGCTCAACTCTGAATACCGTCACATTGAAGTTACCATTCTTAAAGCGGAACTTTTTAAATTAACAAAAGTTCAAATGACTGCATGTAATGTGAAAGATGGTTTTCACAGAATTATTTGTACAATTTCCCTCAGCAGAATCTTTCAGCACACTGAAGCGCCCTTCATGCTCACAATGCTCTTCATAGGCTTCAAGGGTAAAACTAGTTTTATCCTCTATCACTGATGAAGCCTGTGAGCCTGTCTTCCAAAAAATGTATTTAACTGGCAGCTCACAGCCATTTTCCAGCCGTACCACTACTGCCTTGCAGCTCTTTTTGTGTGTGTTCGATCATGTTTTACTAAAGCCACAAAGGCCGTGTTCAGACCGAGTTTGAAAAGTGTGGAGAAAAAAAAAAAAACACAGCCCTCTCCATTAACTTCTGTGAAGGATTGTGTTCCCCAAAGCCAGCGCAAGCACCGCAGGGGGCTCCGGCAAAACAATGCAGCCCTGTGTAGCGAAAAAGTTGGATCTGGTTCAATTTTTGCCACATTGGATGGTGACATCATCCAACAAATGCACTGGGTTGACCAATCACATTCGGGGAACGGTCAGAATGTGGATGCCCACAGGAAGAAGACTCTCTTGTTTACCTTATTAGCATGAGCATTCACTGCTGTTCACTCTCAAATTTGGGCCATGGTTAGTGCACCATAACGATACGCCATACATTTTCATTAGTTTGGCTACTGGATGTTAACCGGTATTTTTTTTTTTATTCAGCAGTGCAGACACACTGGTGGTAAAAAATGGTGCTAACATAGAGCAGGCTACATTAGCAGCCTGGCTAACCAGAACAATGCAAGCTCACATTGATTCATCACAATGTAGCCATATCGCACAGGCCTACAATTCTCCCCACCGAACACCAATGTAGCCCCTTGCGTAAAAAATACAGCAGGGAACTGCATTTTAGTGCACCGAGTCTGAAGGCCCACTAACATCTGACTTACCTATATATATATATA